ATTGGAAACAGGCTTATGACATTTTAGATAGACAAGTTGTGGTGTTTTAAAAAAACAGGGTTTTGGTGATGAGATTGTGCGCGGGCGACTACTTTGTAAGCCTGCAACGGTCGGGTTCAGGTTATGGGAAAATTAGGGTTGCCAGTGGATGGGGGTGGGTTTGCGCAGGGTTGCCCCCTTTCTCAAATCCTCTTTTCATGCTGCAGGACCCTTTTTATGGCTTATAGAGGAAGGAGTGTAAACAGGGGGAGGGGGGTCCTAGGAATGTGGTTTGTGGGGGATGTGGTGACACCCTTTTGGTAGGGGGGAAAAAGGATTTGGGGAATGTGGGACGTTAATGAGATTTTTGGTGGGGCGACAGGGTGGGGTAATGGAGCAAAGTCAAAGTTTTAGAAGAAAAGGGACGTGGGTGGGGGGGGGGGGGGTTTGGGGGAAAGTATGGGTGGGAAAGTAGTGGATGAAATTAAGATGTGGGGTTTTGTAATGGCGGACGCTGGGGGGCACAAAAAAAATTTCCCGGAATGGAGTAGAGCGATGGGTAGGATGCGCGGGTGGGGGCTGGGGATGTAACATTGCAGAGAGGGATGGGAGGAAATAACTTGTGTAAAAAAGTGTGGGGCGTGGAGAAATATATCCCCCCGGGTGTGTGATATTTTGGAACTGGAGGGGTGGTTTTGAGGTTTGTGGGGGTTATGGGAAGCCATGGGGTACGGGAAAGGGGGTGGGGATGTGGCGTGCGGCAGGGTGGGTGGGCTTATCCTTTTGGGCACACGATGAAGGGAGTGTAGTGAAGCAGGATACTCGGGGGGGGGGAGAGGGGAGAAGGTGGGAGAGGTCATGAAGGGTGTCGAAAATGGGGGAAGGAAAGGCATACTGGAGTGTGAAGATATGGTGCGAAATTTTGTTGGCAGTAAGGGGAAACAAAAAAAATAAGGGTAATTTGGCTTGGGGACAGGTTGGCAGGGTACGTGATACGGGAGTGCTAATACCCCAATGGATTGGAGGGGCATTTTGGGGAAGACTTTTGGAAAATCAGATTAAAAACCAAGGGTTTGGGGGTGGTTTTTTAGATTCTTTTTGGGAATTCAGACAACGCAGTGCTATATAGAATGATTATGTAGGGCTGGGCCTTGTTTGCATTGGAGGGAAAAGGAGCGGCTTTCATGCCCTAATTTTTTTGGGAAAACCTTTGGGTTTTTTTAAAGGATGGTTAGCGAGAGTTCTGGGTATGTGGGGGAGGGGAAGAAACATTTCGACTTTTAGGGGTTTTGCATTTTTTTGGGGAGGGGGTTTTCCAAGGGCTTCGGGGGGGCAGTGATTTTGTATGGGATTTTTTGTATGTGTCTTGGGGGCTGCGGGAGGTGGGTGGTGAATTAGGGTCGGGGGGCTTGCGGCGAGTGTGTATCGTACATATCAGAAATAGGATACTTATGGGAGGTTGTGGGGGGAAATAGTTTTCCCTTTGGGTTATCGTAATCTGTCGGTAGGTTAAAGTTTGGGTTGGGTGTGTTAGAGCTGGATTTGGGTGGTTTTTCCCAAACTGGCATTCTTGTTCTTTTTTGAGTTAGTGGAGGATGGAAATGGAATAAAAGTGTGTGGTGTGGAGATATGGGTGTAAAGTCTTAGGAATGGGGGGGGGGGGGCATTGGGGGGGGGTGAAAAATGGTGACTTTTTTGGGTTAAGGACAGGGTTTTTTGACTTTCCGACGTCGGTACAAAAATTTAGCATGGAAAGGGAACGTGGTTTGTGTTTTTTTTTTTACAGATGTTGGGGTCAGGGGTGGGGGGGGTGGCTTTCTGAAGTGTCTTTTGGGGCCGGGGGTTGGGTTTTTTTAATGATTGAGGTAGTATGCCCGGTACATGTTTTATTTGGAGCCATAAGTTTGTTTGAACTTAGTGCATGCAGAGTAAGTTGATATTTCTTGGAACATTTTTAATAATTATATATTTTTTGGGCATAAAACTAAAAAAAGGGAATTTTTATAGTGAGTGGTTTTTCAATTTCTTTATGGTACTTTTTAGCTGGTATTTTTCACTGTCAAATAATTTCTATTATATATGTTATAAGTTATTTTTTTAGCTTATTTTTTTACGTTTTAAAGTGAACAATGTAAAGTTTGTATAGTGAAAAGGGATTTATTTGCACGGGGGGAAAGGGGGGGAAGGGTTTAAAATAAATTTGATTGGATCATAAAAAAAAAACATTGGATATGTGTACACTGTATTTAGAAACGGGGAAGGATTGTGGGATTGTCAAAAATGTAATGTTTAATTCTTAGTAAATTTCATGGGGAATCAGGGGTAATAATTACCCTATTATCGGATGATAAGTTTGATATTTTTTGCTTATTGTAATATAATTTTATTGATGAAAAAGTATAAACTGGTTTTTGCTTTGGAGAAAGAGAAAAAAAGCAAGGGGATATTTTGTAAGCCAAAGACGAAAAAAGAATTGTAACTGAAATGAAAATTTTTTTTTTCAGTGGGGGGAGACGTAAGGGGTTTCATATTTTTTTTTTTGTCCTTAAGTATTTTAAAAATTCAATGACTGATGGAGGTTAGAGTGGTGACGGAAACAGTTACAGGCTTTGGGGGGGGGGGGGTGAAGAGTCAGCGGTAGTGTATTAAACCACCACCCCCCCTGCACGTATTGATTTTTATCTGGGGGAGAGGGTTAGGGTGTGGATTGGTTTCTTTTGGGGGATTGTGCCCCATGTTCAGACTTTTTTTTTTTTTAAAATTTTTTGTACCCCTTTTTTTTTTGGGTGGATTGTGTTTTACATTTTGTAATGATATCCTTAATGCCTAATAATGTATAAGGATGTCAAGAGTATATCAGGTGAAAGGGGATTTTTTCAAGGGGGGGGGGGGGGGTTTTCAGCATTATAAGTAGGGCTACGTTATTAAAGCCCCTTTTTTTCCGTGAAGCACGTAATAAAAGTGTTTTTAGGAGTGCAGCAGCCAATTCTGATGTCTTATAAATGCTTTTTTGGTATTTGGTATCACGCAGTTTTTCGTTTTTACTGCCTGTATCTTTTTACATTTGATTTGTACCCATATATTTTTGTACCTGAGTTTTTAAAAAAATATAAAAAAAAAAATTAAAAAAACATTCAGCTTTGGATGCCAGAAGCTTTGTATAACCCGAAGCTTCCTATAAAATATATAGGCAAGTTTATCCCGGAACAGTTACAATCCTGATTTATAATGACGTTTTTCCAATGTGGATTTGTTAGGGCTACCCAGAGGTTAGCCACCAGAAAAAGCAAGTCACAAGAAAGATTTCATTGGGTCCTTTTAATTTATCCCCCCCCCCCCAGAATATAACCAACACCAGTCGACTAACACCCAGGTACCTACTTGTAATAATTTCTACAATTACACGTATAAGATATATAGACCTAGCTGACAATGACATACTATATAGAAAGCCTTAGTACAAATAATTTTGGACAAATTTAGTCAATTTTGTCCCCAGGATGCAACATACCAGTCTACTAACACCCAGGTACCTATTTCTCTGCTAGGTGAACAGGGATAGGTCTCAAGGAAACACGTCCTAGCGGTTTCCACCCGTACTGGGGATCGACACCGGATCTGTGCGAGAGTAGAGTGCACTAGCAATCTGGCTAGGGAGGACCACTGATTTATTCTTGTACAGACAAATAGTTACAAATTATCACACAGCAGCATGGGGTAACTACCTAGGATAACCAAAAAGTTAGTGACATTCTATTGGAGTCACTTATTTCCATTGGTGAACATAATGGAAGAGGTACAAGGAAACATGCGTAACTGATTTGGATTATCTTAGGTAACTTGCACTTTACTCCGATAAAGTGTGTATTTGTGTACCTGTGCCATTTCCATCCATGTCAGGAATTAAACCACCGAGAGCCGGTAGACTGACCATGCCGCCCAGTTTTCTGTACATTACAGAATGAACATTCCTACAATAAAATTAAGTGTTAAGGGTTATACAGCACACAAAAAAAAAAAAAAAAAAAAAAGTACATACAGTGTACCCCTACGATCACAATTAGTTTAGTACATGCGCAACAAAATAGATGGGGCGGGGGGGGGGGGGGTGAATGTTTGGCGATATTTATTCCCTGCACTTATTTATTATTTGGACATGATACAGTTTTACAAAATAGTGATTGGTTGTACATGCCAAAAGCCCCTTTACTACAAAGATAGGTTTAAGGCCTATCTTCGTAGAATTGGGATTACTGAAATGTACTAATTGAAAGACCAGATAATTACTTTCTATACACTAAGAAAGACTTGCAGCAGTCTTCAAAAATAAATTGCAATTTAGAAAGGATACACGAAAGCACGGATTTAACAGTTTTTAACGAGTGGAATTATTATTATAATCAAGGGGAAGCGCTAAACCCAGAGGATTATACAGCGCGTGGGGGGGGGGGATGTGGAAGGCATTCAGGCTTAATTCGGGGAACCGGAGCACAGATCCAATTTCCTAAATCAAGAGCCCCTCACCAACATCAAGGAACCTTCCTTGAGGGGTTAACGAGTGGAAGAAGCTTCGAAATAGCCTCATTAATGCGAGAACTAGCGTGATTAGGTTTTACATGGACATGCCTAGCATGGGCCTGCTCCAGCTATCAAAACTTTGGGGGGACAGTCCCTGGACCCATTATGTACCTCTCGTAATGTTTTGACTACCGCCCACAGGGTGGGTATGGGGTGTATAATAGAGATATCAAACTAGAAACTAGAACGGGCTAGTACTGCCCCTTCATTATGTTATTCATACAGAGCCTGTGAAATACTGGATAATCAAGCTCTGATTCAATGAGTAGCAAGAGCCCTTCTGACTCTTTTAGGTTATCCTAAGTAATTTACACATGTTACTATGTATGATTATTTGGGTAACTATTTGTGTGTACCTACACACAAACTTACAGTAGCATCTAAACACCACTTAAAAGACTATTACCATGATATATCGTCAAAAATAATATCACACAACCTACCTTCGTGGCAAATATTATTAATCTTGTTGATGTACACTGTCACCAAAGGTAATGTACACAAAGCTCCACCAAACCTAGCTGACTACGTTCCACAGACTTGGCCGTTACTGAGGTGGGACCATGTGGAGGTGGTGTGTGGGCCAGGCCTCAGCAGCTGCCTGCCTTGTTTCCACGTCCATCTGTAGAGTTGCCGACGTGGATTTTCAAAATACTACGATTTTTATTAGACTTTCGGTAAAGAACATACAAGAAAAGGTTTTATATGACATCAATTATAAATACATGAATATATCAAACTAATCAATTATGAACATCTTATCAACACAACAAATTATTACCCTTCCCTTCTGAACGTTTATTACTCTTTGGCTCTCTTCTTGTCTGTTATACTGCAAACTACTGGCTCTTTAAAGTACGTATAATGACTGAAAATAAATGTCTGAAATTTAAAATTTAAATTGTTTTATACTAAGACTGGCCTTGACATGACCAGGTAACTCATTCTATCACCGTGTAATTGGTGTTTGACGCTTGACTACGTATTTTGGGCATTACAAAGTTGTGTTTACTTCTTAGTACTATACTAGTTTTCGTTTTCAACCTTGGCAAAATTTGCAAGATATTCTTGACATTGGTTGCTTTAAGAAGTTTGTATACTGTATGTACATAATTGAGTTATAGGTGCATTATTCCATCTGCCACCAGTGCTTGTAATTCACCCTTGCCTTGTTTAGTAATTTTGTGGGAATATTCAAAGATATGGATTACTCACTGGTTTTCTGATTTGAACAGTAACCATATTTTTTAACATCCCAGCCGTCTGCCACCGTGGTAGGGGAACTCAAAAAAGAAAATACATTGTCACTCTGGTGGTCTGGTGGTTAAAGCTCTCGTTTCACACGGCGAGAGCCTGGGTTCGATTCCCAGCCAGAGTAGAAACATTGGTGTGGGTCGCATCCTGGGACATTGACCTAATTTGCCCGAAATGTTCAGCATAACAAGGGGCTTTCTATACAATAGTATTTCATTGATGTCAGATAGGCTTATATACCATGTACATGTGCTTGTAGTAAATAAAGATGTTATTATTATTATTTATTCACTAAGCTGCCAGAGGTTCTGCCATTACGGTTCAGATGATACTCCAACCCCAACATCCCCACCCTTCGTCAGAGTGCAGGCACTGTACTTCCCACCTCCAGGACTCATGTCCGGCAAACCGGTTTCCTTGAATCCTTTCATAAATATTACTTTACTCACATTCCAACGGCTCGTCAGATCACAAAAACCATTTGCGACCACTCCAATCTAACAAGCTCACACAAGCCTCTAGCACTCAAAATCTCCTTTAATCCCACCCCTCTCCACCCGTTCCTAGGACGATCTCTACCCCTTCTTCTCTCCATCCCAGATATAGAAACCCTCCTAGTCATCATATTATCCTCCATTCTCTTTATATGTCCAAAACACCTCAACAATTCCTCCTCAGCCCTTTGGCCACCACCTTTAGTAACTTCACACCTAATCTCGAAACTTCGAATTCTCTGCATTTTCCCAACGCACATTGCCATTTCCAGTCTCCATGCTTATTCAAAACACATGCTTCACACCCATACAAGTGTTGGTACCAGTATACTATGTTACATTCCCTATTCTGCCTCCAGGATGCCACGATGGACTACCCTCCTAATACTCATCAGATCTATGATTCGCCTCATCTCTCATAGAATCATTTGTGCTAAAATACACGTATTGTGTTCTTATTGTTACCTCACATTACTGCTTCTCGCAAAGTGTGTATTGGCTTGGTTTGTTCTGTTTCTCTCCTACCCATCCTCTTATGGTTTACAGCACATTCTTAGGTTAGGTAGAAAAACTATCCAAGATAAAAAGCAATAAAAAAAAAGGTGCCACGCAAACAGAAAACACATACCCATTGTGCGCGGCTGCAATGAAATAATCACATTTCAACGTTCCAGGAGCCATCAACAGTCACCCATTTGACGGTTATTACAACAGTGCCATGATATCTGTAATTAAGAGCTAAGAGGACAGCTGCTCCCTAGTGTGAACAAGGGATGGTGCATATAAAGTACTGGCACATAATACTACATACTACATATTGGCACACAATACTATATATGTACCGCACCACTGATAGCTACCCATCTATTCACACGGATAAGTAGGTTTATTTATACATAGGTACACATAAGTACAATTGTCATACACTGTAAATTACCTAGGGCAAGGGTAGGGGGCCTTTTTATGATGGAAGGCTGCATTGAAGATATAGTGCAAAATGTCGGTTATTTTGTCAAAAAGTTAATTAACTTCTAGAAAAATAATTCATTCAGAAGGTCGCAGGTTTACCTCCCCTAACCTAGGGTAATCCACTCTCCCTCCTAACCACCCACCTAGAAGCTGAGGCTCGACCCCTGCAACTACATATAGCTGAGTACATATAGGTGAGTACCCATCGTCTCCCAATAACACAGAACCTCCTTCCGATCCACCCATCTAGCCCTCCCATCCGTCACTTCCACCCATCCACTCTCCAACAAGCCAAACCCCCCTACTACCCACCGAGAGAGTGCAGGAGACAAGTGAAGTAGTAGCAGCAGCAACACACATAGCAAGAGGCATTCTTGAGCTTCCCCAGTGCTCAGGCTTAATGCCCAAAGCTGGGGTGTGGCTCCAAAAGAATCCTGTAGTGCTTGCTGCCTGTGCACCTCCTGACATTGTCTGGAGTTACCTGGAGAGAGTTCCGGGGGTCAACGCCCCCGCGGCCCAGTCTGTGACCAGGCCTCCTGGTGGATCAGAGCCTGATCAACCAGGCTGTTGCTGCTGGCTGCACGCAAACCAACATACGAGCCACAGCCCGGCTGGTCAGGAACCGACTTTAGGTGCTTGTCCAGTGCCAGCTTGAAGACTGCCAGGGGTCTGTTGATAATCCCCCTTATGTATGCTGGGAGGCAGTTGAACAGTCTCGGGCCCCTGACACTTATTGTATGGTCTCTTAACGTGCTAGTGACACCCCTGCTTTTCACTGGGGGGATGTTGCATCGTCTGCCAAGTCTTTTGCTTTCGTAGTGAGTGATTTTCGTGTGCAAGTTCGGTACTAGTCCCTCTAGGATTTTCCAGGTGCTATGCAGCTGCCACACCCTTTGAGCCCAGTGTGGGCAGGGTTTGTGGCAGCCCAAGGTGCCTAGCTTCTCCTTCCAAACTCCATGGGGGCAGGAAATGGGGCTAGGCCTGGGGACAGCTGGTCCCAGAAGACGAAGTACTTGTACCTCTTCCCATGGCAGACATTGGTCTGAGACACTCCCACAACAGGGAGCAAAGGCCAGGCCACCTCTTGGAAAAGGCCCTGCCAGGCGATTATGCCAGCAAATCTGCAACAATAATATTAGCCATCCCCCTCATCCCCTCATGGGGCTAGGCCTGGGGACAGCTGGTCCCAGAAGACGAAGTACTTGTACCTCTTCCCATGGCAGACATTGGTCTGAGACACTCCCACAACAGGGAGCAAAGGCCAGGCCACCTCTTGGAAAAGGCCCAGCCAGGCGATTATGCCAGCAAATCTGCAACAATAATATTAGCCATCCCCCTCATCCTCATGTTAGATCTAAGTTGATGAATAAGACATGTATGCAACACCTCAGCCTGCCCTCTTCATAACACAGCATTTCACTGTTCAAAGGACAGTTAAATCCAGGTGACTGATGAAGATGCCTCGATGAAAATCTCATAGTTCTTGTCTTACGGTGGGTGCTAGCTTTCTATTCGTGCAACAGAACTTATCATCCCCTTTATCTCATTTCATTTATTTACATTGTGGTATGTAAAAATTGGTTATTTTTTGGTAGGTAAGACACATGGGCAACAGTTAGGCAACTTTATTCCGAAACGTTTCGCCTACACAGTAGGCTTCTTCAGTCGAGTACAAAAGTAGGCAGGAGCAGTAGAGATGTGAAGATGATGTAATCAGTCCACCACCCTTGAAGTCTGAGATTTGAGGTTGTCAGTCCCTCAGCCTGGAGAAGAGTTCTGTTCCATAGTCTGAAACAATCTGAAGGAACAAGCGACAGTGTGGAGACTTACATACTGTCAGAAGGAGAAGTGCAGGGTGGTGGTAGAGAGAATGTAGTCACTGAGAGGTCACGTCCCTCTCAGATTCAACAATTCTCAATTGAAAAAGTTGTCCAAGGTGCCCTTGGGTTGCAGTGTCTGACAGAGTGAATATTAAAATGGTATACAATACCAGCAGGTTGGTAGGTAAGACACATGAGCAACTGTTATGTAACTTTATTCCGAAACGTTTCACCTACACAGTAGGTTCTTCAGTCGAGTACAAAAGTAGGCAGGAGCAGTAGAGATGTGAAGACGAAGTAATCAGTCCAACACCCCTGAAGTTGGAGATTTGAGGTTGTCAGTCCCTCAGCCTGGAGAAGAGTTCTGTTCCATAGTCTGAAACAATCTAAAGGAACAAACGACAGTGTGGAGACTTGTATACTTATACATGTATACTGGTTATTTTTTACTGATAGAGGAACCCTAACCTGACAAATAATGAAAATCGAGAAATTTGCTAAAACCGTGTGTGAGAAATCCAAATAGCATTTGAGAGGATGGGTATCTTTATTAAAGAAATTTTTTGCCTGTAGAGCAGGCTTTATTAATCTTACAGCTAGGTTATAAATAATAAGATATTACGAAGACTGCAATGGAAATGTAGTTTTTTATTTTTGAGGGGGGAGAAGTTATCTTAGGTAATACAGTGGACCCCCGCATAACGATGGCATCACATAGCGATTTTTCCGCATACCGCTTACTTTTATCGCAAAATTTTTGCCGCGCATACCGATTAAAAACCCGCTCACCGATTTTCGTCCGAGACGCGTCCAATGTGCCCTCAGCCAGCCTCACATGTGCCGCCCGTCCCATTGTTTACCAGCCAGCCTCCGCGGTAACATCCAAGCATACACTCGGAATATTTCGTATTATTACAGTGTTTTCGGTGCTGTTTCTGGAAAATAAGTGACCATGGGCCCCAAGAAAGCTTCTAGTGCCAACCCTGTGGTAAAAAGGGTGAGAATTAGTATGGAAATTAAGAAAGATTTTGAAGGGTTTGGGCTAACCCTGAGAA